CCTGAATGTCCAAGCTCCTCCCCCATCTCTACGGCTGAAACCGGCCACCCTCTGGAGAAAACTCATTTTGGCTGCTTGTATCCGCGATCTTGTTCCTTCAGTCACTACCCAAAGCTCAAGACCATAGGTGAGGGTTGGGACGTAGATCAACTACTAAATCGAGAGCCTCGCCTTCAGGTACAGCTCTCACCATGACAACCGGTTCAGGGTCCGCATCACTGCCGATGCTGCCCCAATCCACAGGTCTGTATAGCAGATAGCGAACAAGGCCATCTGGTCACCACGTTGAATCTCCACTATCATTTATACATTCATTCCTCCGCTTCTCCTGGGGAACCCGATGGGGTTCCAAGGCAAAAGAAGACATCTAACCCTTCAAATTACCTGGGTCTACCCCAAAATACCATACTGCGTTGTTGATCAGATACCCTAACCTCCTCAGCAGACTCTATCCAATCCAGAGAAACAGCAGCTCTACTCTGATCTTCCCCTGGAAGACGGAACATCTCACCCTTTCTCCAAGGTTGCCTGACGAATATGTAAACAAAGCATATTCCAGATGTTTACATCTGGGATCTTGTTCTTTCAATCTTTGCAAAAGCTGAAGTGAATGAGTGAAAGTAGGACTGACCATTACACAGACCAATGGATTTAGGCATTGGTTTGTTGCTGTGAAGAAAGCGTTGAACTGAAAGGAAGCAAATATGATTTATCTACATCAACCCTCATCTACGGCCATGATGGTTGGCTCATTGTCTTCTCAGTACAACAAATGAGCAACAGCAAAAATATAGCCTGGCAAGCCATGTGATTATACTGTATAGTCTGGCCACGACACATAGACAGATGTCAGATCTCTACCAAACCGGTAGAGTGCTTCGATTGGCAAGACACACGACTATTTGGGCTCCAATGGAGCATGCTAGAGTGACCTGCAGAGCTAAATCATTTTGCTTCTGCTACAGTCTGTCTGGATTTCTAGGCTAGCTATAAGACTGCAAAAGAGATGGATGATGTCCCAGTGGAAACAATAAACAGGTATTCTTGTTAAAAATGAGGCTTAATTGATGTGTTCACTTCTTTTTTTAATTATTTTGGCTTTTACTTTAGCCCAAGTTCTGTACCAGTAGACTAAGAAATTTTCAAACCTTTCTTCCATCTTGTTTTCTTCATCTCCTCTCATATTGTTTGCTGAGCTTCGGAAACTGATCACAACCAGGCTGTCTCTCAGAGTGTGTGTGTGTGTGTGTGTGTGTGTGTGTGTGTGTGTGTGTGTGTGTGTGTGTGTGTGTGTGTGTGTGTGTGTGTGTGTGTGTGTGTGTGAGAATCCCACTGACTGCCTGGGCAGTGTGTGTGTATTACACATAGCAGTGCCCATGTCTGGTTCAGCTTCCCAGTGGATAATGAGGAGAGGTTATTTGCTTCAACTCTGTAGGCTCTGTGGGAGCTTCCTCTCATTTGCCATCAAACACTCACTCACACACACACACACACACACACACACACACACACACACACACACACACACACACACACACACACACACACACACACACACACACACACACACACACACACACACACACACACACACACACACACACACACACACACACACACACACAAAGATGGTAGCATAACTCAGCAAGGAGACATCTGTGATATGCAGGCATGTCCACTGACCCGCTGTGACACTGATCAAAACACATCACAACAGAATCTTTGGAATGACAAAACCGGAACAGAGCTAGTTGTGTACTGATTTTGTTCTTTTTCACTTTTTAAATACATGTCAGGGTAACATAATAATGTTTGTTTGCACTATTATCATGTGGTTTTCATCGTAGCAGATCTTTAATACGTTGGATGTCCATAAAGACAAAAATAAGATGAATGATAAATATCTTATATTACAATTTAAAGGAACATTTTAAATACAGAAATAACATTTCTGTTCAACAGGACTGATGATCAATATTGGCTAGTGCAAGTGCAATTACGCCAATAGGAATATAAGATATATTACACACAACAAGAAGTAAATACAATTTTTGTTGCTGGTACATCTTTCAAAGAAAAAGATCAGTTTGAACCAAAATTATTGCAACAGCTATTAAAGTCACAAATACATAAAGAACTTTAAGAACTTTTAAAATGGCATGCTGGAAATCAGGGACATGCTTCAGGGGCCGATCAAGGCAAAAGACATTGATGTGTAAGTTACAGCAAGTTACCACACACTAAGCTATGCTGAACCACAAATACACCATTACTCTAAATGACTTCCTAGATCTAGATATAAAAAAAAAACACTGTCTTGACTGTTTAGCCCCCATTTTTCGTTACTGCACACCAGTTTCATGCATAAACCAATCACGTCAGTCCGCGTGTGGTCATTAGGCTCTCATACGAGTAATATACAAACAGATACATGCGGTTTAAATGCTGTTCATAGAGATAATATTTAGATAAACCACTGATCAGCATGATGAAAACAGCATGTTCTTGTAGTCTAAAAATACGCATCAATGGCTCTGAGTGGTACAGAGCAGAGACCAGCTGGATAAAAAGCTGTATGGGTGCATGACCAAGTACTGCATGTTCAAACGCCTTTGGTATGTGTAGAATTACAGTAATTTGTTCTTCTAAATGTATTTTAAAAGTGACACTAAACAGTTTTCTGCTTCTCCCTCCTACTGGTTGAAAGTGGAATTACAACTGCCGTTAACAATCCTGCTGCAGCCTGCTAGCTAGCACTAACAATGAGCTAACACTAAAATGAGCCAACTGATACTAAATAAGCCACTAAGTTAAAAGATCCACACTATTGCACAAAAAATATTATTTACAAGTCCAGTAGAAATAAAACCAGGTCACCATCAGTCCGAGGAGCTGGCCCAAGTAACTGGGGAGAGGGAAGTCTGGGCCTCCCTGCTTAGGCTACTGCCTCCATGACCCAACCACAGAAGGAAGGATGTTTTATTTATTTATTTATTTAGTCAAGAAAATCTAAATATTCACTCAGATGGACCATTTAAACACACAACATTTAAACACAACACCAATGGAAATATACACCAGTTATTAATCTCTACAGCTCAGCTTGAATCTAAATTGTGGTAAAAAAAAATCAATAATAGATTAAGAATTTAGTCAATTTAACTGACATCAAATCAAATAATTCAGGTCATTAATCTCTTAAAGTAGTGTGCATCACTAATCGTGCTTTCAGCATCAAAACAAATAAGTTATTTGTGCTCTCTTTTAACTAAATAAAAAAAAAATAATAATCTGGACTTGTATAGTTTGAGGCCCTGTCCACACGTAGCCGGGGATCTGCCAAAACGTAGATATTTTTCTACGTTTTGGCCTGTCATCCACACGAAAACGGAGTTTTTTCACACGAAAACGGATCTTTTTAAAAACTCTGGCCAAAGTGAAGGTCTGCGTTTTCTCCGTTTTGGGTGTCTGCGTGTGGACGGACAAAACCGGAGTTTTAAGGTCCGCAACGTCACTTTCCGCGACAAAAAATGCTGACATCACGTATGCGACCTGTGTTTACTCTAGCCGGCATCATGGAAGCCCTCAGAGCTGTGCTCTGTCACTACCCGATCCATCAATTGTCCAAGTGCTTTTCTGCTTGTTTGTTTTTGCAACCGGAATTACTGCTCCTTGCGGAAGACCACAGACGAAGGACGAGGTTAAGAACGGGGGAAGTACTGCCGCCTACAGGTCTGGCATGTCCTTAACAACGTATTTATCTGGGTACGTGTGGACAGAGTTTGTTTTTAAAACGTGGTGGTGTGGATGCAAGTTTTTGGAGGGGCGGATATTCGTTTTTAAAAAACCCCGGCTACGTGTGGACTAGGCCTGAATCTTGCTTTTTGTTCTTAAGGTAACTTCACTCTCAGCTCATTAGTTTTAAAGAAGTAATTTTTTTAGCAGCGATACATTATAGTAAAAGATCACTGAAGCCTGAAGAACAAAGAGTTAAGACAAAAAAAAGACTTGAGAGTAAAAGTGACTTTTAAGAGTTCTATGACTTATTTGAAAGGAAACAAACACAAAACAAGCATGACTTTCCAGAGCTTAATAATGACACACGGAAGTAAATATGAGAAGCAAATCAGACAAAAAAACAATTACACTAATCTGCTGCTGCGAAAACGGACAGTGACTAAAAGTTGAGCCAATAGATGCAGATTTAATAGATTAAACGTAATAAAATATAAATTAAACTGGATTTAGAAATACACTTTCTAACATGATCTTCTTTAAGTGACCACAGCCTGGAGCCAAACTGTTTAAATTAACACGAATAAAGAAATGAAAATTGCAATGCTCCTACATTCCAGTATTAGATTTTCTTCTGTTACACATATCCACTGCATTGCTGAGGAAAATATTCGGAAAAACATCGAATGACACCATCTGGGAAAACATCTTGCATTAAACTCATCGTTATCTTGAGTGATCATATTTTCTGTTCATCCCACGCTTTAATTTTTTGTCAAACACAACCTAAAATTTGCCCCAACACCCGTCTGTAGAGACGAGGTGAACTTATTTTAAAGCAACCACACTGTTGCCAGTTTAAAGTCGTGGGGAAACAACTCAAGTCGAGTGGAAGAACTTAAGTTTTTGAACTTAGACTTTCGCTCTGAAATCTGTTTTCAATAACAGGATTTCTGTGTGTAAAAACCTTGAGACGCAACACTCAAAATCCTAGCAATTATAACTTTTTACCGCCTTGTGCCCCTTAACGTCGACACAAAAAAAGAACACAAAGGGTATGTGCTGCTCTAAATCAGAACACCTCCACTAGAAAGTGTGGTTCTTTGACTATATAAAAAGGCACTTTCATTTAGTTTTTAAACTTTTGGTTCCAAGATAATCTAGTTAGAAGCAAATGGTGTTCATTTAATGTAAATTCAAGGCTTCAATGATGGGGAGATGTTATCTGAATGATCAGGTTCTTACAGATACCTAAAGTCTCTTACCTTCTTTGCAGCATGTATACACTGCATGTACTCCTTAGCCAGGTCTGAGCACCTTAGAGTCTGCTCCTTGTTGTCCTTGTAGCAGGATAAAATCTGAGCCTGGAGGCCAGAACACACTGGAGTTGTGTTGCGAGACCTGCAAAAAGAAACAACAAACACCCAGAGAAAGATTCGTGAACATGAAGACAACAAAAATCCTGTTTTCCGTATATTTTCCCTGACAGTAAAACATGAAGTACTTCAAGAATAAAACTTGAAGCATCACTCCACGATTCTTACACCAGTTTCATTTTGAAACGGATTTGCCCTAGACCCTGTAGAAATGATTCTATGATTACGGCATGGCTGCATGTGGGGAAATCAGTCGGAAGATTTCATTTGCCTGATCAGTCCTGTACTGTAGAAACTATTAGATACTAGGGATGAGCAAGTACACCACTATCTGTATCTGTTCATTAGAGGTGCTGAAAAAAAAGTCGATTCAAGTCTGAATCGGGATTCTTATTTATAAACATTCAGAATCGATTCACAAAGGTTCCGAATCGATTCCAAGAACTCAAATATTTGGCATGTTACAGGTTTGAGATCTACAGATTTGTTATATTTTACAAGATAAGCAAAAATAAATGTTGCCTTTTGGTCAAAAGATTGCTTCTGTTTACAGTTTTAGAATCACTTTATTTTACATTGTAAATTTGCATTTTTGGAGCATGACCAGTGTCCCATAGCTTTAACTAACTTGTACAACAAAGTAGTTAATCCTGGAGCTGACACTCTTTGTTAATACTGACTGTGAATCGATTTAAATTGAGAATCGAGAACCAATTCTGAATCGAATCAGCACCCAAAGAATCAGAATCAAATCAAATCGTGAGTTGCTCTAACCCCCAAATTCCACTACCTCCGCTCCGCCACGAACTCCGCAGCAAAATCGGTCCCGTTGTAGTCAATCAGAGCTATTCCACTACTGCAGCCGTGCTGCGGCAGTGCGCCGCCCTCTGTTCCGGCGTCCGGCAAAAATAGAATCGATCCTATTTTTGCCGGACGCCGGAGCACCTCCGCAGTCAATGGACAGGAATCACAACCGCCCAACAGGAAAGGGAGCAAGCACAACTTCCGTTATTTCACAATAAATCGATAAACAAAAAGTGTTTTTTGATTCATAGGCACAGGTTTAACAACTTTTAACAACTATCAATGGCGGTTGAACTTTAAATGCACAAAAGTAAGCCATGAATACAGTTTCCACTATCAAAGTAGACACACTTTGTTGATCCAAACATTGCTGATCTCTCAACACAAATGATGGGCAGATTAAACAGCTCATGCCGATGCTTCTCCCACACAACAGGTGTTTGGATCTAACTTCCGAGTTTATTGCTCGGACTGTATCGCAGGATCTCGAAAATCCTGCGCATGCTTGTTTGCGCACCTCAGGTCTCCACAATGGAGCGGAGCCGTTGTAGAGCGGGTACCAGTAAAAATTGAGTTCGGAAGCGAGCGGCTGCGGAAGGTGGGGGCGGAGCGGAGCGGAGGTAGTGGAATTTGGGGGTAAGATTCACATCCCTAAGATTCCCATCTAAATTATCTGTATCTGTACTCGGAGTGGGCGTGGCCTAACCCGGAAGTGGGTGTGGTTTACATCTATACATTATTTTAAGTCTGACATTGATATGGAATGATCAAAAGTTGCTATGTGTATTGTTTATTTGAAAACTATTTACAGAGCAGCCTCAGAATTGAGATTAAATATTTTTGATCACAAAAGTAAAGGAACTGTTACAGAACAAGTTTTTCAATTAAATTAGAACATTAATATTTAAATGCATGAATTAATCCATAAAGAGAGAGACAGACAGACAGACAGACAGACACACAGAGAGAGAGAGAGAGAGAGAGAGAGAGAGGAGAGAGAGAGAGAGAGAGAGAGACAGAGAGAGAGAGAAACCCGAGTGGAGGCAGTGAGCGATGCAGCACGAGCCGTTTTCAGCTCTGTCTTGTCAAATGCACCACGTACGTTACGAAAAAGTAACTTTAAATATTAAACCGAAAAAGAGGTGAGCTGAAGAAAACCTAAGGAGTTCTGAAGAAACGTGAGCAACAGAGATGCAAGCACAGAGAGATCCGTTACCATCTGTGTGTGTGTGTGGATGCATGGGCCGGACTGAGGCTGCAGAGTTTTGTGTGTAGGGAGGGGCAGGCGCCCTATATGACTGGCCAATCACAGAGCGTGAAGACAGTCAGTTACCCAATGGGGATTTTCCTTCAGCACAATTATAGATATTTATATTAGATACTCAATGGCCATACGCCTGGTGTTTAAAATCTGTGTGATTTGGGATTATAAATAGTCACTTCAGTGCGTTAAGTTTACATGACTGTTCAATTGCATTGTTTTGTCAAAACAAAATGGTAAATGGTAAATGGCCTGTATTTGATATAGCGCCTTCTAGAGTCCTGGAACCCCCCAAGGCGCTTTACAACACAATCAGTCATTCACCCATTCACACAAACATTCACACACTGATGGTGATGAGCTACGATGTAGCCACAGCTGCCCTGGGGCGCACTGACAGAGGCGAGGCTGCCGAGCACTGGCGCCACCGGTCCCTCCGACCACCACCAGCAGGCAACGTGGGTTAAGTGTCTTGCCCAAGGACACAACGACAGCGAGAGACTGAGCGGGGCTCGAACCTGCAACCTTCCGGTTACGGGGCGAGCGCTTAACTCCTGTGCCACCGTCGCCCAATCAGCTGTGCTTGGTGGACAAATTTTATAATGGACATCATTGTGCCTATTTAGGGTGGGCTTCAGACCCCCCGAAAAATTACCCCAAGGCAGTAATTCTCATCGTGTCACAAACTATATCTATAAGGTTCAGGTGCGCACTTAAAAATTTCTACAAACTCTAATTATAACACATCCTTTTCAGTGGCGTGTCCAGATCTTTGAAAATGGGGTGGCCCAGGTGAGGCACTACTTTGTACATGGGTGGCACCAATGGTTATGCTTATTTCATTTTTTTGTTTTACCCCAAGCCTTTTGTGAACAATGAAAAGCCTATTTAAAGTGAATTCAGTGTGGTGGCCCCTGGGGTGGCCAATCAGATTCCAAGGGTGGCATTTGCTACCCCAGGCCACCCCCTGGACACTCCCCTGATTCTTTTGGCTGTCAGTAAGTGCCAGTTCCATTCCACAACCCTGCGGGCTAAGCCCCCGTTGTCTTTCCATGCTACTGACATTCCTGGGTTTTATATTTTATGGTAAGTAACCTGTTTTTGTATAGCACCTTCTTAGGGTTCTACAACCCCCCCAAGGGTCATGCACCCATTCACACACACATTCACACACTGGTTAATATATTTAGATTTAATTTTAAACATTTGTTCAGAGTCTCTCGAAGTCCGTTGTAGAACATTTTAGATCTTTATATGAAAAGGCACAAAGGAAATCGTGTTGCAGATCAAGCTAAACTGCACCAGAACAAGAGACATCAGGTATCATGGAGAAACTTCAAGTATCGGGACAAACACAACATTTCATAATTGATTCTGTATTTTTGATCTCTGATTTTATCCTGGACCCATATTATTTTGATATGTTTTCTAATGTATTGGTACATTTATTCCTAATAGTTGAGGCTTTTGTCAAACAGATGTTTTAATTGTTTTATTTATTATTTTCATTTGACACTTTATGAAGCGTGGTGGGTTTTAGTTAATTATAGTTGTTTTTTTTTTGTTTGAAGTTTATTTCCTGATACCTGATGCTTTTTGAAATAATTTATTTTACGATAAATTATTTGTTTCTGATTTGTGAAGTTTTTTTTCTTCCTAATACTTGATACAGGCAGGTTAAGCGTCTTGCCCAAGGACACAACAGCAGCCCTTTCTGGTTGGAGCCGGGATGGAACCTGCAACCTTACGATCACGTGACTGGCTGTGTTGATGCTTTCTTCTTGAAGAAATTAAGCATTTTTCCACCTAAATTTGACCTAGGGATGTTCTAAAATGCACACAGTGGTTTTAGCCCGAACACCAAGAGTTGTTTAATTGTTTCTGCAGTTAAAGACTTCACACCTGGTGCTGTTTAGTAATTCATTTCTTGCATTGTTTTTCAGGTACAGTATAAAAAACAATCTTACGTAGAACAATAGAAAACGCATAAAGAGTATGATAAATCAAGTTACAATTCCACTAATGGGCACCTGTTTAACGAGTGGGATGTGTGGTACGTGCTTCACTGTAAATCCTACAATTAAAACTAAATCACACTTAATTGAGTGTGTAGGATCGTTCTGATCAAATACAGCAGAAAAGTGAGCTTTGAGGGATTGAATTAGCTGTGCTTAATTTGATATGTGGGCTGTATTACAATTTCTTTGCCTGTCGGTCTTTGTGAGCGTTAAGTGTGACAGGTTTGCTGCTTCGGCGCCTCGCTGAAATAGATTCTGACTGATTGAAGCGGAGACAAGCAAGTTAGGTACGCCTACGCAGGTACAGACTGGTGTAACACCTCTGTATTTACCAATTATGATGATGGACCAGTAGGTTCGGACATAGGAGCACAGTGGTGTGTTTTAGTCAGACTCAAAAACCAGAAGATGATTTTTTCTAAACAACCCAAATTTTACTAACTGAATTGAGTAGTTAAAAACACAGTTTAACAATAATGAAAAAAAAAAAAACACTCAATACACCAAAAAAACATTTAACATACGATATTCTAATCACTTGGCCAAAGTGTACATCCTTTTAAATCTCTTGGGTGCACCCTGTTGACCTGTATCCTGTTTCTTAAAATCAGGTTACGTAATTTCAATTCCACAGGGAGTCCTAACATACCGTAAATCCTCTAATACAGGCCCGGGCCTGTATTTGACTCAAGCTCACCAGGCCCCAGGCCTTTATTGGAAGGAGGGCCAGAATTTGAGGCAGGCCTCTATTTCTATTTGAGCAAAATGAACTAATGGTTCGCTGGAGTTTTTGACAATTAAAATTGCACCCACATTTTCAAAGTTAAACACATTTCTTTTAACAACAGTAGTTTCTGCTTCAGCCCTCTCTCCCCTCCCCCTGCACAGCGGCCGCAAACTCACTGATGCGCCTGCAGCCTCTCGGAGTTCCTGCTGCTCTAA